CTGAGGGAACAGAGGTAACGACGTCATGTGCCCAGGGCCACAGGTCTGCCAAGGGGTGGAGCTGGGCCTGGGACCAGGTTTGTTTACTCCAGAGTCAGGTTTCTTACCCACACAGCCCTAACTGGCCTCTCCGCCTTTGGGACAACACAGCTCCGGGCCCTTCTTTCTAAAACTTAAATCTGGTCTTGTCAGTGCCCTACTTAAAAAACACAGAGCCTGTGCCGTCACGCCTCCCTGCCTCTGCACGCGCCGTTCTCTTTGCCTCAGCACTTCCCCCGTGCCCTGCCTGCCGTCCTCCTTGCTAGGCTGACCTCCCAAGCCCACTTCTCTGTGAAGCCATCCATGTGCAGTGAGGGCCCCGCCCTCCTCCAGCTCCCAGGGGCAGCTGTGGCTCCTGTCACAGCATCCGGGATGCAGCTCGCCACGTCAGCTCGTGTACCCCCAGACTGCAAGCTTCTTAAGAGCAAGGTCAGGATGGTACCCCTTCTGACTACCCAAAAGCCAGGGGTGGCACCTGGGTTACTAAATAGGAACTCGCGGATTTTCTTCATTGGTCATATTTCCGGAGCATTTCCACTGTGCCAGCCACTTCGCTTGGGGGCTGGAGAAGGAGCAGGAGCAAGGGAGGCCCCCGCCCTCCAGGGGCCCCCAGTAATAGGTGAGACAGAGAGCAGCCATGTGTACTGCAGAGTGACCGGCATCCTGGTGGGACAGCTCAGGGGGCTGTAGCGGCACTTAATCTGGCTGGCATAGGGGTTGGGGGAGAGGAGCCACCCTAAAAGGGGCCATACCTGGACAATAGAGAACGGGATGGCGTGGCCCCTGGGCTTGAGAGTCTTGTTTGCCTGGGTCCGAGGCTTGCTTCGCTCGCTCGCTCACTCGCTCACAGATACCTTTCTCTGCCCGGCCCTGAGTCGGTGCTGGAGGTTCAGCAGTAACTGAGAGATAGAACCTTTCCTTCTAGAAAGTTGGAGTGGGACCACCACCTCCAGCAGGCGTCTAGGCATTTCTGGGGCTGGGCGAGTCCTCAGGCATCTCTTGGAGGTAGGAACAGAGTTCGTTCTGGTCTTTTCGGAGGTGATCTCGGCCCGCCTTTCTGAAGGGAAGGCTGGGGCTCTCAGGCTGCTGGCCCCACGGCAGGCCGGTTTCACCAGAGAATAGACCTAACACAATAGCCCGATTGTGAGAGGCCGGCCTGCGCCCTTCCTCCCCCCTCATCCCCGCACACACATGTGAACATTTCTGTGATCAGAATGTCTTACAACAATGTATACATGTAACGGGACATTGTAATGGTTTACAGTGTTTACCGTTTTATGATGTTTTACAACATTATAATGTAATGTTTAGTGTCCCCCCTCCAAAGCTGTTATTAAATTAGTCACATGGCTTATAGTCAAAGTGAGAGAATTAGGATTTTGTCATAGAAACTACCATCAGAATGAAGTTCTGATGTGACCTATCACCACAAACTCCAAGCCGCCAGTGGCTGAATAACCCTTCTATTTGGGGTGTTTTATATAAATTTACAGAAAAGAAACGCTATTGAATGAATTGATTCATTCTTGAGATTTCCACAGTGTGTGTGTCTAGGGTGGCAGCAGGGTTGGGTAGAAAGAGCCCAGACCCGGGTTTGAATCCCTGCCTTCTGGCGCACCAGTGGGGGGGCCTGGGCAGAGGTGCTGGGCGCGTCCTCCGAGCCTCGGTCTCCTCCCCTGTAAAGTGGGGACTGCACCGCCCATTCTGCAGGACCCTCTTAGTGCCACCAAGTCTTTACAAGTTTCCTGTCGTTGTGTGTCTGGGTGGTTATTGGCGTCACCTTCCACCTCCTCCCCCTGGGCTGTGGGTGCAAGAAACAGAGCCCCTGCCCTACCTGCCCGCTGTGCGCTGAGACCGCATCAGATGGGATGTGCAGCGATCAAGGGAGAGGCTAGAGTCGGGCGCCCCTGCCTAGGGCAGGGCTGCTGTCTGTTACGTTTGTTCTGAGGTAGCTACCAGTGCCACCTCTCATGGCTTCCGAGGAGCTGCTCAGGTGTGGCCCAGCGTGGTCCCTGGGGGCCTGCGCCCCGATCCAGCAGCCCTGGGAGTCTCCCAGTGGGAGTGAGTGCAGGAAACACAAGGAGGCTCCACTCCATGGAGCCGGTGCCAGTGCTCCGTGGTGCCGACATGGGGGGACCGCAGTGCCGAGCACCAGGTGCGTGGCTTGCTGAAGTCAGACAGGCTGGCTGGGAACCCAGCCCCATCTCTCTCTGACCGCGTCACCACAGGCACGCTGTGTGGCGCATCTGTAAGAGGGGTGGCAATAATGCTTGTTCTGTCTCGGAGGTAGGCCCCTGTGACAAGCAAGTGATATAGCCCAGCCAGGCAGGCATGTGGTTTTCAGATGGGGTTGTGCAGCATTCTGTAGGACAGCAACCAAAACAGATGTGGCTGCTGGGGGCCATGGGCAGGGACCCAGTGACAAGGTCAGGAAAAAAGTCAAGATGCCTTGAACAAGGCGGAAGAATGGGGAAGGTATGGACTCTGAAGCCAGACTGAGCAAGGATCAAGTTCTACTTAATCATCAACTGTGTGGCCTTGGGCAAGTAACTTACCCTTTCTAAGCCTTGGTTTTCTCATCTATAAAATGGGATGCTAAAACTAGAGCCCAACTCCTAGGGTCCTGGTGAGGATGAAATTAGGTAATGCCTGTGCCTTTCTTAGCCCAGCGGGTACTTCACAAATCATTGTGGGTAGAGCAGTGGCTGAGTTCTGCCCGTGACCTTGCAGTAACACCATGCAGTACCCTCCACACCCCGCCCCACACACACAGGGCCATGTGCTTTACACGTTTCTGTCTGTTCCACCACTGCCGCCTTTATTGACTAATAATTAACCTATTTGTGTTTGCCAGCCCTGTGAAGTCAGTCAGAGCCTCTGCTGGCCTGGGCTGCCCGCAGCACAGCGAGCCGCCCTGGCTCCCGGCTGGAGCTTGCGCAGCCCGGGGGCCTGGTGCTAGAGAAGCAAATATCTAAGGCCGGCTTGCTTCCCGGAGTTCAGGGGGCATGGGTGAGAAGCTGCTGTCCCGGGCTAAGGGGCGCCAGTGTTGGCTGATGTCAGGTCCACCGGGCTTGGCCATGTGTGGCCAGACTCGGTGATAGGGGTGGGGTTTGGGGCGGGGGCCTTTGCCTCTCCTTGGGCAGCCCCAGCACAAGCCTGGTGCAGGTCCTCCCGTTTGGGGGACCTCCTGCGGCACGGAGGTAGCCCACTTTCCTCACCCACTCAGGTTCTGGCGGGAGACCAGCAGGCAGACAGGGAGTGCCTGTGAGGGTGTTGGATGCTCTACTGTAGGACTGGTGTTGGGTGCACTGAGTTCCTTTTGTTGTTGCACCTGCACTTGCTCTTAGTGTGGCCTTCTAAGACCCAGACATGCTGCAGGTCACCACAGACATAAGCCCCCCTCAGGACCTGGGGATTTTTGGACACTCTAACAGTATCTGTCAGGGCAGAGAGAATGCAGGTATCTGCTCTTTCCTCTGTGATTCTGATTGTTATGGTTCATAATAAGCGGTGACTAACATTTTCTGAGGGTTGGCCACGTACCGGGCACTGGTGCCGAGGCCTTCCTGGGCATGACCACGTGTGGCTCTCCTAGAAAGCAGCAGAATGTGGTTCAGAGTGCTGGACCCAAGTCCTGGGGCTGCCACTCCCCCACCATGTGGCCTCGGGCACAATCACATACCCTCTGTGCCTCAGTTTCCTACCTGTAAAACGGTGATGAATAGCAGTACATAGGTTATAGGGTGGCCGTGAGGATTCTACAGGTCGGTGAGTGCCTGGATCAGGGTGAGTGCAATATAGGCATCAGCTGTTGCTAAGAGATGGGCACTATTATCATTCCACTTTTCAGAAAAGGAAGCTGAGGCTCAGAGAGAAGAGCTAGGGTTTGAACCTAGCTCGTGAGCACTACCTTACTGTACCCCAGTTTGGAAAAGTACCCGTGGGGAGCATCGGGCCAGCTTCAGAAGTGGTGTCCTCCACTGTCCTCAGAGCCCCAAGGAGAGGGAGCCCTTTGCTAAGTAGCGGACAGGCCTCTGGGAGCCCTCCCATCCCACAGCGGAGGAATAGCTGACCCATGACATACATATCACAGAAGGAGGAGGGAGGGGTCGGGGAAGAATTTCTGTTTCGAAATGTTATCTAACACTGAGCACTTTCAAGGGACTCGGAATGTGGAGCCTGTGCCGTCCCCCTGCCTGATGCCGGTTCGCCCCTGCTTCCCAGCCACATCCAGCCTGCTTGAGACGAGGGTACCTGGGAAACCTCCCACTGTGAGGAGGGATCAGGCGCCCTTGGGCATGCAGAGAAAGCCAGGGCGGGACTTTGCCTCAAGTCACAGAGGCACAGACTTCAGGCTGGCACGTCCCTTCCAGCACTGTAGCCCTGCGCCCCTCTCCTCCCTGGCTGAGGGTGTGGGCACCAGCTGCCCGCGCCAGGGAAGTTTCTGAACAAGGGCTCCCGGCTCCCACAGGACAGCGCTCGCTTTTGCTTTTGCCTGGGCGTCCTCCCTAGCCAGGGTGCAGAGGAACCGCAAACTTACAAACGGCTTCCCAAACGCTCAGCTGCTCCTGACGTCTGCAACTGCTTGGTCTGCTGGCCTCTTGGGCACACACCTACACAGAGCACACACTCACGCACACCCCCCAGCGCCGGGCCAGGCCCAGGAGCCACCGCCGTCCCCCAAAGGCTCTTTGTCTGCGGAGGAGAGCGGCTGACTGACGAAGCCTCGGAACCCCAGCCCGTGATCCCACGCCCAGAGCACCACCCCCTGCCCCGGCATCCACTGGTCCTGCGCTGGCACACACCTTGTTTGGCTCCAAGTGAAAACAGGAGTGACCCCCTCTGGGATCCGGCTGCACACGCACCCCAACTGGAAGAGTCGGGGTCTAGAGTCCCAAGACACAGGGCCAGCTGCTGCCTCTCTCTTCCTGTCCCTCGGTGCCACCAAGCTAGCCCCTTACCTCGTCCCTCCTGCTTGGCTCCTGGGGCCGCTCCTTACATGCTTCCCTCTGGCCGTCAGCGGGGCAGCCTGTCCATGGCCTCCAGGAGGGCCCTCAAGTCTCAGGCTTGCCCGGCCACCCGGCAGCCCTGCCTCGCTGGCCTCTGCTGGCTCTGCTCCTCCTGCACAGTGCAGCTCCGCCAGGCTGGGTGGGGGCTGGCCGGGGTCCTGCAGGGCTGCTCACAACCTGCCTCCTCTTGGGGTGGGAGCCGGCGGCTGCCTCAGGGCCATGCTCTGCAGGTCTGGGCTCAGGCAGCACCGCTTGGGGCTTGGTCGGTCCTCAGGCCGTCTGCTGCAGCCTCATTTGAACTCCCAACTCCTTTGTGGAGCCTTTACATGCCGCCCGCCCGGAGGAAACTGTGAGCACAGCCTGACCCTGGTTGGCTGCAGGCACTTCTCTCCACCCACCAATGCAAGAGGATCCCCCAGGCCCCAGAAAGGCTCCGGGCCTCCCCTCAGCCCCAGACAGAGGCGGGCCGCCCAGTGATGTCACACTAGCTCCGGCCCCAGCTGGCCTGGCCCCTCCCGCCCCAGCCCGCTTTGGCTGCTTCAGCGGCCCCCTCCTTCCCTGGCACGAGCCGCCTGGCCAGCTCTGCTCCCTGGCCCGCCCGCTCCCCATAAGCCCAGGCAGCTCCTGGTTCACTCCGCAAGGCAAACAGCTTCCCTTCTGACTCAGGTAATGGGCTGCGATCTGCTCCAGCTGTGCACGCAACAGTGCGCAAGCTGCAGGGAGCAGGGCCCTCCCCAGCACGGCCCCACAGAGCCAGGTGGGCAGGCAGGGCAGCCCCTGCAGATGGCCTTCCTGGAGGCCTCCTTCCCGTCCCTGAGCCCTGGGGAAGGAAGTCCAAGGCTGTCTGCACAGAAACCAGTGGCATCCGTGTCATGAAGGCGGGGGAGACAGGAGCCAAGAGCCGTGGAAACACCACAGCTGGGGTGAGGGCGGTGCTGGAGAAACACTGTCACTGCCCCCTGCATGGCTTTGATTAAGTCACTGATGAAGTCACCTCTCTGGGCATCCCATTCACGCATCAGCAAATGAGCGAATCCTAGTAGTCACTTGCCTCCAAAGACCATGGTGAGGGTTCTGTGAGGTCGTTCTGGGAAGGGTCGTCGGCGCAGGGCGACGACTGAACTCAGACTCTGGGGTCAGGTCTGGGGCCGGGGCTGCCCTGACCCCAGCCCCCATCGGATTCTGCAAGGAAGAAATAATGGGTGACCATCAGAGTCCTCCGCACAGCCTGTCATCGAGGGGGAGCTTGTGAGTGCTGACAGCGAGAGGAGAGGAGGAGACGGCACTGGACCCCAAAGCGAGCAGTCCCCCAGGACAGGAGGGCGAGAACCAGCCAGGGAGCACGCAGGCTCAGCTGCATCCCTCTGCCTGGACCACAGCCATGTGAAACAGCGCTGGGGACTCTTCTTTCTTTAAAAAAGAAAAAAGAATGATGATGGTGGTGGTGGTGGTGGTGTGTATGTTGGGGTGCCAACTGAGAGAAATTTTAATGGGGTTCTCCCCACGCCTCAGCACAGTGCATCATGTTCTTGGTCCCTAGGCAAACGGCCCATCCTGCCCGCCCCCCTCGCCTGAGGGCTGTCACTTCTGTCTTTGCAGGGAGCACGTTTTCCTTCCTGCCTCAGCTTCTCTCAGCACACTCGGACCTTCTCCTTTTTGCTGTGTGTCAGTCCCACCCCTTTTTAGAAGGTGTGTCTTTGCCAAAAGACCTCTGTATGCTATAGACCACACTAGCAGACAGCTGGATTGGACAGAAACCCTCCCTACATCTCCCACAGGGTTGAAGATGCCCTGCCATTCTGTGGCTTCCCCGAAAGGCCCGGTGGGGCCGGGTGGGGCCGGGTGGGGCCGTGGTGGTGGGGCTGTGGCAGGCGGGGACTGGGGAGGGTGGGAGGTGGGGGGGAGCTCAAGAGAAGCAGAAGCACAGGGGAGGGAGCTGAATCCTTTTTGATCTACACGCTTGACAGCCCGGGGGCTAGCATGCTCCCTTCTTTTTCCCCTCCTTCTTCCTCTCTCTTCTCCAGGGTGTGTGGAACCTGCTCTGAGCCAACACCAGGAAGCCAAAGTCCCTGTCCTTTCAGAGCTCACAGTCAGGAGGGGAGGCAGGCAGACAGACTGGCTGCGTGCGGAGGTCTGGGCGCCAAGGGGGTATCTAAGTCGGAGGCCTGACTAATCCTGGGCGGGCAGTCAAGGCAGGCTCCCTGACAGTGTTGCTTCGGCTAAAGCCTGGGTGCTTGGTAAGAGTCGGCCAGTGGTGAGGCTGGACAGAGGGTGGTGGTCTTGGCAGAGACAACAGTGTGTAAGGACCATGTGGTGGCTTGCTTTTCCAAAGAGATGTCCCCAACAATATCTCCTGGTCCACAGGGAAACCTTGACACTCCTCCCCTTGAATCTAGGTGGGTTGGTAACTGGCTTGTAACTGACAGAGCGCAGTGGGAGTGGCTTTACCGGACTTCAAGGCTGAGTGAGAACAGGCGGTGCAGCTGTGCAGCTTCCGCCTGTTCACTAGGGCAGCCTCTTCTGGAGCTCTGAGCCAGGTTGGAGCCTGAGAAGTCCAGCTACCCCGAAGCTGCCATGCGGAGGCCATCAGATGCGTAGGTCCCGGCTGACAGCCAGCACCAGCCCCAGGCGTGTGAGGAAAGATGCCTCTCGATGATTCCAGCCCCGAGCCATCGAGTTGCCCCTAGCTAGAGAGTCTTCCTGCTGAGGCCTCAGACATCGGGAGCAAAGATAAGCCATCCCACTGTTCCATATCTGAATTCTTCATCACGGAATCCACAAGGATAAGGAATGGCTTTTCTGGGCCTCTGAGTTTGGGTGGTAGTTTGTTGCACAGCATCAGTAACTGGAGCAGACCCCGAGGCAAGAGCAGGTGCAGGGAGCTGAGAAGTGCTTTTGGCTGAGCAGAGAAGGGGAGCAGGGCAGAACACGAGGCCTTGTGAGAGGTGGGGCTTTATCCCAAGGATGGGCGCAAGCAACTGAAAGGTTTTAAGCGTGGCAGTGCTCCGACTTGCTTTTACTCTGAAAGCCCCCATTAATTGTTGAGTGCAGCCTGGATTGATGGGAGCCTCAGACAAGTCACCCAGAGCTTGTGGGAGATGGCTGCAACCACCCTGGTAGGAGAGGCCGTTGGAGTCAGTAGGTCAGGGGGAAGGGAGGTCCCTCGGACTTCCCCCCCTCCAGAACAGGTGCAGCTCAAGTCCCTTGAGAACAAATTTGCTTCCACAATTCAAAGTTCCTAGGACCTCATCAGGAGGGGGAGGAGCACAGGTGGCCTTGCTCTGTCCATCTTTCATAACCCCTGCCCCTTTGGTGGCCTCTGACAGTTGAGTATGCAGCAGCTGGGGAGCGTGAGCCATAGAGTCAAGTTCTACTTCTACCACTCAGTAGCTCTGAGCCTCACTTCGCTCACCTGTGAAATGGAGATGATACAAGGATTTACTCCATAGAACTGTTGTGAAAATTAAATAAGATGAGACACATTAAGTGTAACATACCATGGCTAGTACATAGCAGGTGCTCAGCAAATGCTGGCTACAGTGATTTGTTTTACCTCCTTGTCTGTGAGTCCCTGAGCACCAGGACTTGCGTGGGCGCAGCCTTGGGGAGCTCTCGTTTCTTCTGGCCCAGTGCGGTGGAGTGATACCTGAACGGCTGGCTTGGGGAGGGCTAAGAGCAACGGCTTAGAGTCCAACAGGTCTGAGTTCAGATCCCAAAGCTGTCACTCACCTGGGAAATCCTCTGATTCTCTTTCAAACTTTGTTTCTTCATTTTTAAAAAATGAACACTAGCACTCCTCAGGGGTAGAGTGAGATCACGGTAACGCACCTGGAGCACTTAGCACGGTACCTGGCGTTTGGCATCTGGCAGTTGCTCAGGACGTGTGTGCTGCTGCTGGGGCTCTTCCCTGTTCCCACACTGTTCCCCACCCTTACCCAGAACACCTTTGTCAAGCTTCCACCTTGATTGCTTCCAGATCGTGGAATCCCCCTTGACCTTCTATAGGAGCACTATTCCCACATTTCCACTGCCTGTTGGACCAAATCATCAAGTGACTAAAACATTTAAGGAGGAGAGAATCTTCGTTTTCCTTATTAGAGTTTTTATACAGATGAGAAATGTCTGATGTTTACATGGTGGCAGAACACAAAGAATCCTAATGATGTCTGACAGTGTGTATAAATGATTTCATGCATTTTCATGTCCTATCACCTTCCTGACAGTTACAATTTTTTTTGTGGTTGTTGGGAATGTTGGGCTGTTGAGCTTACTGTGTGTATGGTAGGAGTGGGGGGCGAGTGCGTGGATAATATGCCTTATAAGGGAGCGCTTGGGACGGGAGGAACAGAATTCCAAGCTTCACATGTCCCAAACTGACTTTTTTCCTTCTAGAACTTTTTAAATGCTTTTCCATTGCCTTCTGGCCTGTGTTGTTTCCAATCAGAAGTCAGTTCTCTTATTGTTCCTGTGTACATGATAGGTCTTTTCCCTTCTGACTTCTTTTAAGATATCTCTTTGTCTTTGATTTGTAGGAGTTTGACTGTGGTGTGAACAGACGTGGTTTTCTTGGTATTTATTCTATGCAGGCTTCACTGAGCTTCTTAGGTCTATGGGTTGATGTTTTTCACTGAATTTGGTAATGTAGGGGGACTTTTTTGGTCATTATTCCTTCAAATATTTTTTCTGCCCAATTCTCTCTTCCCTCCCCTTCTGGAATTCCATTTACACATTAGGTGTTGTCCCACTGGTCACTGTGTTTGTTTGTTTGTTTGTTTGTTTCTTTATTTTTATCTTTCTTCACTGTGTGCTTCAGTTTGGATCATTCCTATTACCTATCTTCAAGTTTGCTGATATTCTCTTCTACAATATTTAAGCTGCTTTTGATTTCATCCAAAATATGTTTTATGTCAGGTACTTTATTTTTTGTTCCTAGAATTTACCTAGGTTTATTTTTATAGGTCCATTTCTCTTCTGAGATTCTCTATCCATTTATTTATTCTATTCTTCATTTCCTGAAAATCCTGTGGATATTTATAATAGCCACTTGAGAATCCTTGTTTATTAACTCCAACATCTGGTTCATCAGTGGATCTGATTTTATTGACTGCTTTCTCTTGATTGTCACATTTTCCTGCTTTTTCACATCTATATATTTTTAGTTGCATATTAAACATTTTGGATAATACATAAGACCGTGTATTTTATTGTCTTCCTCTAAAGAATGTTGTTTTATTCTAGCCGGCAGTCAAATCACTGTCATACCCACTTGAGAATGTGGAGGCTTGGTTTTCAGGTTTTATTCCGGTAGGTTTATTTTGGTTTTGCCCATAACCCTAGGGTATAACCCTTTGTATTGGGCTTCTTTGTAAAGAATGGCTTTTCTGG